CATAGCACGGGCTTCCTTTCATTTAAGGGCCAGAACGACCGAAATAAGGTGACCCACCTCATAACAATAAAAGCATTCTCTTTTCTCCACAGGTGGTGGAGACGAAGTGGACGAAGGAGGAGGTGCTACCGGATGGGGATGAACTTTTTGGGGTAGCAGAGTCGGCGTGAACACAGTCCTATGAGTCAACACGAACTCATCAGCGAGGATGGCAGCTTCAGCTAGAGAAGTGACTTCCTGCTCATTTAAGTACATGACAACATGATCTGGAACATAGTTTTTGAACTCTGTTCCTGGTGTGACTTGGGCAGTTGTTGTGGCCATCCTGTACCTGTCACGTAGGTGTGATATTCGGATGTGCATGTTAATTAATTAATTGATTATGGTTAATTGAACATGCATGGAAAACATTGTTTAAACCCTTTACAATGAAGATCTGTAAAGTTATTTGGATTTTTACAACATTATTGTTGAAATACACAGTCCTGAAAAAGGGACGTTTCTTTTTTTGCTGAGTATACATACATTTGTGAATTTCCAAGTGTACATGAGAATGACTTGTCTTCATTATGGGTCATTCTGTAGCTTTCATTTAGGTGTATTATCCGTAATAAACAGCAGCTGTCACTTTGATCAGCTGCAGTTTTGAAAAAAAATCTTACACATTAGGGATGCTTGATTTCCCCTTGAGAAAATGTGATGCTGGTGTCAAATCTTTATGTAAACACCAGACACGTGGCAACAACCATTGAACAGAGCTCTGTGTGTGTGCATGTTTGCTGTTACTGTGAGGTAATTTTACAGCATTAGCATAGACTATGGCTAGAAAGGAATAAAGAAACATATGAAAAGAAATCTCAAATATTAATATAGTTTTTAAAATGTAATTTGTGTTCAACTATTGCTGAAACTTACACTGCCCGGCCAAGTCACAATTTGAATATATATCAACAAATACTTAAGAGCCAATGACTGGATCATTATTACAGCTCAGCAACATTATGCAGCAATAAAGTAAAGTCAGCAGAGTACCTGAATCTACTGAATGGCCAGGTTACACCTTCATCCATCATAAATGGATTTTTTTCTGCTGGCATGGGCATATTCCTGGACAAGAATGCCAAGATTCATTGGGTTCAGGGAGCACAAGGAATCATTTTCACGCATGACTTGGTTACTACAGAGTTGTGACCTTAACCTTATTGAAGGGTTAGGGTTAGGGTTAGGGATGTGCAGAAGGAGGCTTTTTGGAGTGGTTCAACTCATTTGTCAATACAGGATCTTAGTGAGAAATGAATGCAAATCTGGATGAAAATAAAGGAAGAGATGTTGCATAAGCTTGTGGAAACAATGCCATGACAAATGTGCGCCATTATCACAGCTAAAGGTGGTCCAACTAAAAATTCAAATGGCCTCTTTTTTTTGGCCAGCAGTGTATTATATTAATGGGTATGTCCAACTTCTCAAATGTGTGGATTTGCTACTTTTTCATGTACATTTTTCCCTAAATATACCATTTTTGGCTCTGCAAAGTGGAATTAGCATTTTTTTTTTACTATTGTGTAATATTTTATAGAATAAAAAGTTAGTCAGATTTGTCTTAAAATCTCAGGTTTGTTAATAAGAATGCATGACAACATAAATTTCCCAGAAAAAAATAAAAATCTAATGACTAAAATTTTATCTAAAATAATAAACTTTTGTGACAGGTGAATATTATATTACGATGGAATTAACAATAATTAAGAATAAACATACACATTTTGATGCATACAAATTGAGATGTTGGTCTGTGTGAGTGGGTTTTCTGTACATTGTGGTTAGATTTTGGAACAGTGGTGTTGAGGGACAGCTATGGGGCTATTATTGTAGCAAAATTATTTGCAAATGTGTATGGAGAGTTGTGTGACTGTATCTCAATCTATGTGTGCATAATCAGATTTTAAAATCTGTAAAAGAATTTGGAAATGTGTACTAAGATTTGCAAATGTGTAATATGCATCATTGTTGGGTGATTCATTCAATCTCATTGCTACAGGTGTATAAAATCAAGCACTTATCCATGCAATCAGGTTTACACACACTCATGAAATAATGGGTCATTATGAAGAATTGTACTGTCATAGGTTGCCACTTTAACAATAAGTCAGATCCTGATTTTTTTCCCTGCTAGATATTCCACGGTCAACTATAACTGGTATTATTGCGAAGTGGAAGCATTTAGAAACAACAGGAACTCAGCCACAAAATGGCAGACCGCTTTGGAACCATACTCCCACTATGACATAAACGCACAAGTCGTCAAGCACGATGACGTGTTCCAGTTAATGAAAAATTATGACACAGAAGACCTTTTCATCAAAGACAGGTAGTTTTTGAGCATTATGGACTGACACATTCATAAAGACACAAAGAACAACTGGGTAGCTCCCTTGCCATTTAGAATGCCTTGAGAAAGACTGCCGAGCAACTACAAGCAAGCCCTAGAGCGCTTTAACGCTTTAACTTTAAAAAAAAAAAACCCGAGTTGAAAGAGCAATTCGTCACATTTATGGAAAAGATCTTCCATAACTACAATGCTGAACCAGTGACTCCATTGGAACCAGGAAAAGAACACTGGTATTTACCATGTTTTGGCGTGAACCACCCGCATGAAACCTTCGCAAATTAGAGTTGTATTTGACTCCAGTGCGAAATGCGAAGGCCGGTCCTTGAACCAGACACTTTTGTCTGGCCCGGATCTTAACAACAGCCTTGTTGGAGTGCTCCTCCATTTCCGAAGAGACACTATCGCCTTCTCTGTAGAAATACAACAAATGTTCTACAGCTTCAAAGTAAGGGAGGAGGACCACAATCTCCTTTGGTTCTTCTGGTTCAAAGATAACGACCCTGAACAAGAGACGGCAGAGTTCCGCATGAAAGTTCACGTGTTCGGCAACAGCCCTTCACCAGCAGTAGCTATCTACTGCCTTAGACGCGCAGCTCAAGAGGGACAAGCGGAGTATGGAGAAGAAGTACAGCAGTTCGTCACTACAGAGTTCTACGTAGATGACGGACTAAAATCCCTTCCCACGGCGGAGGAAGCCATCAGTCTGTTAAGGAGAACTCAAAATATATTAGCACGCTCCAACCTGAGGCTGCATAAGCTGGTGTCTATTAGCAAGATAGTAATGGAAGCTTTCCCACGCGAAGACCATGCCACGGACTTAAATGATCTGGACTTGGATGCTGACAATTTGCCGTTGGGCTGCAGTGGGATCTTGTGTCAGACTGCTTCACATACAGAGTGAGCCAGGAAAAGAAACCGTACACTCGGAGAGGAGTCCTTTCCACAGTAAACAGTCTGTACGATCCTTTAGGATTCGTTTCCCCTGTCACAATACAAGGGAATGTGTTCCTCTGAGAAATGACAGAGAGCTCTCCTGACTGGGATACTCCACTGCCATTAGGAAAAAAGGAATCATGGATCAACTGGCAAGATTCCCTCCAAGAGCTACAGAGCCTGAGAATTCCAAGGGCTTACACTAATGTGTCGTTATTTTCAGCGGAACGCATAGAGTTGTGTGTCTTCTCAGACGCATCAGAATGGTCAATAGCCGCAGTCGCCTATTTGAAGGTTAAGGACGCACTTGGGAACATCCATACAGGGTTGGTTGCCAGTAAGGCGAGACTAGCACCACATTCAGGACATACCACACCTCACCTTGAACTGTGCAGCGCTGTCCTCGCAGTGACATTGGCTGAGAATATCATATCAGAAATGGATGTCTCTTTCGACACTGTCACCTTCTACACGGACAGTAAGATCATGCTTGGACACATTTTTAACGAAAAAGAGGTGGTTTTATGTGTAAGTCCAGAGAATCAGGAAGAGCACACAACCTAGCCAGTGGAGATACGTGGACATTCGACACAACCCTGCTGACATCGCTGGTCAATCCCAGCAGGCTGTCTAAAGGACACAATTTGGTTAGGGGAAGATGTGAGGTATAGAAGATGGCTGATCTGCCAGCCGACAGACTAAGTTCTGACCCCCCATTTACAAATGTCGGCATGGATGTCTTTGGGCCTTGGAATGTTGCAGCTCGTAGGACAATAGCAGGAAGTGCGGAAAACAAAAGATGGGCTGTACTTTTTACTTGCCTATCTGTGAGGGCCGTGCACATTGAGCTCATCGAGTCCCTAGATGCCTCTAGTTTCATCAACGCGTTCCGCAGGTTTCAGGCCATTCGTGGTCCGGGGAAACACCTGCGTCCGGACAGGGGCACAAACTTTATCAGAGCCTCCATGGATTTGGGAATCCCATCCTCACGCTTTGCATATGGGCGGAGTGTGGGAGAGGATGATCGGAGTGACGTAAGATTTTGGATTCTATGTTTATGCAGATGGGGTCATCCAAGTTCACACAGGAAGTGCTCACTACCTTCCTGGCTGAAGTGACAGCGATCGTGAATAACCGCCCTTTGGTACCTGTGTCAACCGATCCATCAAATCCGTTCACCCTCACTCCTGCGTTCTTACTGACTCAGAAGATTGTGCCATGTCTTCCACCGCCAGGAGAATTCAACCAAATGGATTTGTATAGACAACAATGGCGACGAGTCCAGAGTTTGTCTAATATATTCTGGGACAGGTGCAGGAAGCAGTATCTAGCAACTCTTCAGTCCCGCCGAAAGTGGTCCGCGGAATAGTACATCTCTTTTGAGACTGGTGACTGAGCTGGTGTTACTTGTTTCTCCTGTAGGGTAAACGTGTTTACTTACCTCAAGGGATGATCTCTAGTCATCTTCTTACAGGTGGAATGGACTTTGATCATTAAAAGGGGTATACAGTGTTATTGTCTGTAGTTGTGTATAATAGCATACAAGTAATATTTGACACCCTTAAGGTGTCAGACAGGGAGTGTTCTGCCCCTTTAGTATTTATGTTCATTGTTGTAATGTCAGAGAAACATGTATGATGCTTGCCTGCCATCTTGTGTCAAAGCACAAGAAGTGCAGGGACACAAGTCGCTACTGGATGACGTCTCCGGGAGGAGACACCGCGCGCAAAAAAGGAATGTCTTTTATCATTCGTTCCTGCCTGTTTATTCTTCTGTATGCATCATCCAGCTCTTTGAGTTGATCTGTGAAGGCATCGCTGGTATGTTTATGTTGTGATGTTATGATAAATAGAAAGGAATAATTATATTAGACTGAGTTAACAAAGTTTTGTAATTTATTAAGTTGGTAAAAGTAGGCTCATTCAGATTTTTGCCTTTATGTGAATAGAGCTCTGTAATAAGTCATACTAAAGGCTATTCTTTGTTTTTTCTAGTGTTACTCTTCTTCCATGGCAATTATATAAAGATCTAAACGGCATTCGGCATCTGCGTGCTTTGTGGGGAACAGTTAACTCACTGTCGACCCTGGCAAGACGCGAGGGAGGGGCAGTACACTGAGTAAGTAAGACTTATGTAGCTTACATTTTTAAGTGAGCACTACTTATTTTTAATTATTAACCTCACTATACTAATTTCAGTAACTGGTTTTCTGGCTCAGTTTACAGACTGCCTTTAAACTGAAGATTACTGTATAATAAGTATTGCAATCTATGTAAGAAATCCATTGAAAAGAATGAAATAAACAGTTTATATGCATCTCATCATTTATTTTAAATGCAACAGTAAACATGCATTGGTATAAAATGTATAACAGTGAGCACACCAACAGTCATCGATGCAATGGCCTCATCTGTCACTGTATCCTGTGAAGACACACAAATGCAAAACAAGTCTTTAGATTTGGTACTCTACAGTTCAGTTGACTGAATTAACTAAGAGCAGTGACCAAAATGCTTCATGTGTTGCTACTGGTGAACAAAGCTGTGGCCTTATCTGTATTAGAAAAAGTCCATATTTCCCTTCCACAAACTGTAAATTTTTTTAGAGTCAAAGGAAGTGAAACTGCCCCAGAGCATCACTGAAACACTAACATGCTTCACTGTAGGCTTGTCGCTTTCATCACATGCCTCATATCTAATTACAGACAAACTGCTGATCCGTGGGCCAAAACAAAACAGGATTCAAATCCAAAACCATGGGGATGTGTCACAAACCTTTAAGGAAAATGCTGGTCATTTTCAACCCATAGCCCTTTTGTTCAAAGTCACTAAAAGAAGCAACCAGAACAACAGAAACTTGATACAGCATAAACTGAATAGTAGACTGGCAGCTAAAGCCAACCAATGGGGGCAAATTAAGTTTCAATTTCAAGTACTTGCCCCCATAGGTTAATATAGCTACCAGCTTCCTATTGGCTTTATGTTGTATCACATTTTCTAGTTCTTTTACCCACTGACAGCAATCTGTGACCTACCTTGTACAACAAGGCTATGGAATGAAAATTGCTGGAGATTTCCTTACAGGGATTGTGCTCTGTGGATCAATGAAACAGAATTGGAAATGTTTGGCCTATGCTTCAGTAGTATGTCTGAAAGAGTAAGTATGAATCAGACACTGAAAAGCAGGCACGTGCAGAGGGGGTGGGGGCGGAGGGTGCTTGAGCACCCGCCCCTTTCCTCCAGGATGCCTCAAGTGCCCTTTTCTTGGGTTTTTTTTTTTGTTGTTGTTGTTTTTTTTTTTTTGTATGTGCGTATGGAGCCCTGTCTTTGCCCCTCAACAATAAAATGTAACTATTAATCTCAATTTTGCTAAATAAAAGGATCTGGCTTGCATCAGTCACATGACTGCCATTAACCAATGCTCACCCTTGAGGGCAGAGCGCGCTCGTTACGAGCCGGGTACGAGCTCGCAAAGTGCACGCGCATTTTCTGCAGGCTGGGTGGTGCGGAGCTGGAGGAGAAGCAGGCAAATTAATTGGAAGGTGCAGACTGCAACAAAACAGTAAATAGGGTGTACAGCGCACACTATAGTCTATAACAACAAATGAATTTAAATAAATGAGCGTGCTGTTTGTGCAACAGCGCGACAAACATTATCTGTCCTTTTATGAACTGCACAAGTAGTGGTGGTCATTAACTGCTAGCTAACTGGGTAAGGGTGTTACAAGGGGGTCTGTAGCTCTGTCCACCGTTTTAGGGAACATGTTTTGTTTTAAAGTAAGTTACAGGACTTTTCCCTTCTTTTCTGGAGGGCTTTTATTTCACTAAAAACGATCTAATATGGATATCCACATAATTCCATATTAGATTCGTCATGAATGTGAGTTGTTGTTATTCAGCCTGTTCTATCTTTTTTAACTTTGAGCACCCGCCCCTTTAAACGTCTCTGCACGGCCCTGCTGAAAAGTAGACCATGTTTGCACTGATGCATGATGGTTATGGCTCAGTGATCCCCTGGGACTGCATTACTTTCTCTGACAGTGGAAACCTGCAGTGTATGGAGGACAAAGTGAATTCATTTAAATATCAGGGGAACCTTGGAAAAAGTTAACTTTGGCTATGAAATGTCTAATGTCTAACCCCATTACCACCCCAAGATATTGAATGAATAAACAAAGGAAATAAAATGTGATTTTAAAAGTGCATGCAACAAAATCATTGTGAAAGAATTTCTTGTCCTCCATGAGTAGATTTTCATTTAATTTCATTTTCAATAAATATAGATTTAAATTACTTACAAAGGCTGTCTTGTAGAACTCGTTGGAATTGTCCCCGAGTATAATTGGAGTTCCTTTAAGGACAAGGGTGCACTGTGATGTCACATCTGATGTCTAATGATACAGAGAAAAAAGGGTTGAGACATTCATAAGACAAAAACTAAACTGCCAAATGAACAAAGTTGCTTGACTTATACAGAATCCCTCAAATGGTCACTTGTTTTCCATTATACAATAACTTCATAGTCCATGCTGTCCAACACACTATGCCTATGGCTGCCTTTAACAGAGAAATTAGGTGATTTTCAACCCATGGCCATGTTGTTTGAGGTCAACAAGAGCTTTCCATAGGACATATGAGCAAGAAAACTTGGTACAACATATACCAAATAGCAAGCTGGCATCTTAAGTAAGTTAATCTTAAGTAAGGCAACTTAAATGACAATTATAGCCATTTTTAACACTTAGGCCTGTTTCCCTTGGATTCTACATTAAACTGAAAGGGAAATTTAAGTGGCCCCCATAGATTAGCTGTAGCTGCTGTTCTGATGTTCAGACTATATTGTGCCGAATTTTATCACTTTTTCCTACTGACTGTTAAGGCTGCAACAACTAATCGACTGTATAGATAAAATTATATTATTAAAATGATAGATTACAAGAATTAATAATCGATTTGTTGTGTTGTGCTAATACTCGGTCACTCACTATATTGCGGAATAGTTCATTTCACTTCATGGAACGCAGAGCGACCCAAGACGTGGCAGAGGAAGAGCAGAGGCCCCATTTTCCAACAAAAATTAAACAAATAAAACATAAGAGGAGGAGAAAACAGTTCATCTGCAGTCGTCAAAAACGCTAGCTCTGTTTTGAAGTGAGGAGACTTAACGTTAATCTCTCCACTAGCTCATCTGCTGCTGGTGTGTTTCTCTTATTTCAGTTTAATATTGTTTTTGTATAGCACTTCAGCTGTGTTTAAATCTGCTGCATAAATAAACTTTACTTTAACATTGTCATGACCTGCTCGTACGATCCTCCTGTGTGTCACACCCCCTCATTAACCTCATGTGAAACCCTGATTGCTCTGGCCCAGGCTCCACCCATGCCTGACATCCCGGCTCTGCCCACTGTATCTCCTGCTCCAGTCCCCCCAGCTCCAGATCCAGTCCCCAAGGAGGTCCCGGACTATTAGAACACCGCTCTTCCCCCCTTGATGGAGGGAGAGGAGGAGCTTGAGTGAGACCCCTCAGGGACCTCCCTAATGGACCCAATGGACTCGCCCCAGCACGGTGAATCCCGACTGGGTCTCCACCTGTCAGTGTCCCGAAAGGGGAGAGGACACTTGCGCAGGGTTCGGGTCCCGGGCTCGGGGGGCGCCTGCGGGTCCATTGCCTCCTGCTCAGCGGTTTCCTGCGGGTCCCCCTCTGAGGCCTCGTCAGCCGCCCTCAGTCCCACCTCCGACGCCTCGTTGGTCACCTGCGGGTACCCCTGCTTCGACTTCTCGGTCGGCTGTGCCTTCGCCGGCTGTGGCTGCGCCGTCACTCCCCTCCGACTTCCTCCTCGCCTCCCCTGGTGCCCCCTCCGACTTCCTCCTCAACTCCTCCGCCTGTCCCTCTGCCTGCCTCCTCGCCCTCTGCGAGGTCCCCTCCGGCTCTGGTCTCTGGGTCGCCTGCGGCCCCTCCGGCTGCTGCCCGTCATCTGCTGTGGCTCCCTCGGGCTCCCCATTGTCCGCTGTCCTCGATGTTCCTCCCTCCTTCCTTCGTCCCTCCTGTGTCTGCTCCTTGTCCCTCGGTGTCTCCTCTGTTCACTCCTGGTCCTTTTGTTTCTCTGTTCTCTGTGCCCTCTGTATCTCCTTTCCTGGTCTGCCTGTCTGCGTTTCCCGTCTTGTGTCAGGTCTTGTCTTGGCTTTTGCCCTTGTGCTTGTTTTGTGTTTCGGTTCTGTTCCCTGTACCCCGATGATGCTCTTGTCTTGTTTTTCAGGTCCTGTTGTCCCGGTTTCCTCTCATCCTTCACCTCCCATGAGAAGCGCCCGGAGTGCGCGCCTTGGGGGGGTTCTGTCATGACCTGCCTGTACGATTCTCCTGTGTGCCACACCCCCTCATTAACGTGATGTGAAACCCTGATTGTTCCCAGCTGTTTGTTATTTCCGGTATGTCCTGTGTATTTCAGTCCGTGTTCGAGTACGTTTCCCTAGGTCTGTCATTAATGTTGCCTGTGAGTTAAGTCTATTCCCCGTCAATAAACCCTGTTTGCCTGTATTCACGCCTCCACTTGCCTGTTTGCCCGCTCGCCTGAAAGGCGCCGTGACAAACACAAGGTCAGGGTTTGTGCATTTTTTGCTCCATCAGTTTAAATAATGTTCTATTTCTGAATAAACGGGGAAATAAAAATGTCCTTTTTATCTGATTTATTGATTAGTCAAAAAAATAATCGACAGATCAATTGAATATTAAAATAATCGTTAGCTGACTGCACTTGGTAACCTCGATCAACAGGGCTATGTGTTGAAAATGATCTTGACTGTGTGAGAGACCATCTTCTTTACACCACAGTACAAAACACTGACAACACCCTTGAAAAAAAAATCATACTAAATTACTACCCAGTTGATGTTCTGCATGACTTCAGTTAGCTTCTGTCCAACAACCCCTTTTCTTGTCTTGAACAGTTGCAAAAAGGTGGCACAAGCTGGTCCAGCTTCATGAAGAAATCTTCCTAAAGGTTTTTGCTTGTTATTCTGATGAATTCAAAACACGCCTGAAAAATATGTAGGGTGGAGGAAGCGGGGGAAAGCACATGATACATGAAATTTCTTCACCACATAACATAACACATACAGTTGAAGTAGAATAAACAGAAGCTTACCTGGCTTTCAGTGAAGAGTGCTGGCCATCGGTCCACCATGCTCTGTACTGAGAGCGCCTCGCCGACAATCTCTGCCGTCAAATTGGAAACATTCATCTTTTGTAGAATGACAATTTCGTTTAATTCCATTTACTGCACTTCACGTGCTTTGCTTGCTAAAACGATTCAGCTTACAGAATTTTAGTTTTATGCACAGTTTGATACAGACTGAGCAGGTCAGTTAACTTTGCATTTGGTGCCTAGTGTATCTATAACCAACATAAATATAAGGACTAACGTCAGAACTACTGGAACAGTGTTAGCAATGAACGTTACCTAAGTTAGCCTAAGCTAGAATGGCCAGATATCTAGTTAGCGATAGTTCATTAAACATGGTAATTCGTTAGCCAAAATTGAACAAAACTCAAATTGGCATTGAATTACTAAATGAAGAAAGTAAATATTACAAAACACTCACCAAATTAACCTGTAAAATGCTGCAGCGAAGTTAATTCCGCCAAAACAGCTTGAGCTGATGTCTTCCACAAACTTGGGCTTCTCTACTGTCATGTAGTAACGCGTCTTTCGCGAACGAGCAGGCTTTAAGAGCCAATTCTTGGTAGCAAATAAGAAAAAGACAACTCCCGTCGGGGAGAGCTGAATCTTCAGCCGCTCCTGCTCAGCTCTGCCCTGCTGAAAAGAGCCAGACCTCCTAACGGGCATGTATCAGAATGGCTACTGCGCATGCCCAAGTGTGGACTAGTGTGTGATAGAAAATTGAACAGAGAATATATTTTTCTTAAGTAGCTTTTAGATAAACTGATTTTGGAACATATTTTTAATATGTTATTGCAAGAACGCCTGGGTGACAGACAGCTGACACGAGAATTGAGGTTTGAGTGTTGCACTCATGTTTTGGAGCATACTACTTGTTAGAATTGACAAGAAATGCAGACTGGGGACAAAGGCATGAGCATCGAGCGCACATAGCATACATGGCAGGAACACCACAAAGGCCATGCAAAAGCATAGACATCCCCTCACGTGCCCCAGGCCTGCAGCATGCTGATCACGTGAAGTATACATGTTTGAAAGATGCAAACTGCATAAGGCATATGTGTGTTACAAAGTGCACACCCTACTCTAACCAGTTTGATCTGGTTCAGTGGACTGGGGCGCGAACTATGAATGTACCCCTATAAAGGTTATGTTGACCAGAAAATCTTTGGAACATTACCACGAGGGTGGCAGCTGGATGGTTGTTCCCTGAGCTCATTAATGAAGCGAAGTCACATACCAATGTATCAGTCGGTTTTTACTGATACTGTTTTTACGACAAGTGTTTTGCTAGTGACCTGAACTTTTATCTCATTTGGTTTGTACGTTCTCTTATCTTTGCCATGTAGATGGATGAATTTGGGATCTGTGTCACCTCATGTTGTACCCCAGTTAATTAGGAAGTCATGGATGACAATTTGAAGGTTCCTTTTCACTCCAATCAACTCAAAGATGTACAATATACAGGGGAAACATGCTTCATTAAATTGTGTTCACTGTAATTCCCAGGTGTGCCAATAATCGTGGCACATGTGTTTTTATTGAAAGTAATTATTTCTTGACAAAGAATTTAATTTTCTTTGAATAAATGTATTTTATTTTTTTAGTGTGAGATGAAGCTACTTCACTGAAAGGTAGATTTTTTCTAACCCTTTTTACAAATCGTTACAAGGGGTGCCAATAATTGTGGAGGACGCTGTAGCTATCATGGCATCTGTACAGATGATTTTATTTTAAGCCCACTTGTTGACCTTAAATCATTACAGATATGTAATATATAGCCTACTACTATCCAGTGGATAATGGTGTTTCCCCTGACATGAAAACTGATACCCTTTGGAGACATTAAGCACTTTGTGTTTTCAGTCAGGGGTGTGAAATCACAATTCAAAGGTTTTTGAAACTTATTCAGACTAGCCATCAGCAACGAAGCAGTTTGACAAAACACTAAACAAGCAACTTAGCAATTGATCCATATGTCAAAATTCTGTTTATGATTGTGAACTGAATCATGGGCAATCATGACAGTGTTTCCTTCAATTTCTAAGGGAAATATTCTGCAAGTAGATTGTTAGAGCATCCTTGATATTGCAATACAGGTTTTCAGTCTATTGTTTCCATGCCAGAGGTAGGACTTAGTTATTATTATGGTTATTCAAACCAAAGTATGTACAAAATACAGCTGCCATGTGTGACTTTTTCAAATGCCCAGAGCATCAGCAGTTGGCTAACAGTAAAACAATCAATCACGGCAGCATAGTATTTAGACCATCCCTCTTAGCGTGTCAAGGCCACACGGGGGGAGGACATAACAGCTGCAGGCAATTTCCTCTCGTTAGCTCCACTTCTTAAAGCGGATGATTCCTTGCAAACATTGCAAAGTATTGTTGCCATGATTAGGAACATTACCAAGCGTTATTCTGTCTTTTGTCTTCCCTGCTTGCCCTGCCTGCTGCGTCCTGCCTGCTTGTCTCCCTGCCTGCCTGCCCACTCCCACCTGCCTGCCTGTCCTGTCCTGTGCTCCCGACCCATCACCATCGTTCCACCTTCCCCTTCGTCGTCTCGTCCTGTGCCTGTCTGTAGGACTGACGTCCCTGGCTTTTGACCTCCTGCTTCTGTCCCAACCACGAATTTGGATTTCTGACTTGGCTTTCTCTGCATCTGGCTACTTAATAAAGCGCCTGTTCTCCAGCATTACGGGGTCTGCCTCCTGTCTGCTTTCTGGTCATAACATACTGTAGCATCCCTCCAGCTGATCCAATCCAGAACCAACCATGTCTCTATCCTCATAATCCCTTTCAACACAGCTTGCTCTGGGTCATTGATATATGTTGCCATAGATGTTTGCGCGTATGCAAATGAAATCATTGGCTAAAACTTTTCCTCCTTGGAAAGTAGGTTGGATGAGAACAAAATTCCCCAGACAAATTCATTCGTATTTTTAAAAGCAAAATCCCAGAAAATTCTGGGCAGGACAAACATCATTTTGAATGTTCAACTGACCAGTGCCCCCCCATGAGTAATACCTATGTGTGAACGACTCTTGATTATGGCCATAGTGTTTATGGCACAGAAACTCTTGGCTCAGAAAAGACACTAATGTTGTTAGTAACCTATGTTTTGTGTTATGGTGATGCAGGACACATAACAATTTTGAACATTTCCTATTGCCAGTGCTGTCAGGATTCAAAACAGACATAACTTTTATTTCAAGTAGACTGGAGAAAGCAATGTGGCGCTTAGTTAAAGAAGCACATTTTCCTTTACATACAGAATCTCATTGGCAGAGCTGGGGGTTTGGTTAACACCACCAACCACCAGGAGGTGGTCTCGAATTACAATGCTGGAAGCTGAACAGCGAGGCACAGACATGGGAGCAACTCGCTCCCATTTCTTCTTCTCTGGGTGGAAAGCCTCCACTGAATCCAGTACAGAGGGATGATTCCCTATACAGCAGTGCAGAAACAGGAGTATAAATGATTGTTTTGCTTTAAGACAAATACCACGCAGCCCAGCTTTTTGTGCCCTATGTGACCTGGGAAATTCTCCAGCCCCACTCCTCATGACCCGACCAGTATAAGTAATTAGTAAATGGATGGTTGGACTGATAAATGTTTTATGACTGAAATTAAACACAAGCATTTTGGCACAAATTTGGATAGCTCCTGAAAATGCATTAATACTAAGTGATGACTTACTGATTGATATCACCCACCTAATCCTCCTGCAACAATGACCCTTCCATGCAGGGAGGCAGATGCAAAGTCTGCCCGCTTGGTCTTCATGGACGCTGTGTCTTCTGACTTCAACCATAGACCTGAAGGAAAGGGGAAAAAAACAATGAATACAGTACAATTAATTTTACTTATTCTATTTTATTGTATTCTGCAGTCAGGGAATAGATTGCTGTCACTGTTATTGGCAACAGAAGTAACAGTAAAATTTATTGTGGGAGAATTTATTTTGTCACTTAGCTATAGTCCAAGTCAGTGGTGACACATGAAAGAAAAGGCACAGATCTGGTGAATCGAATTGCTCCAAGGACGCCAGATAAATAGCCTGACCCCGCACTTGGATATGAAATACATTTTGTTGACACGCTAACAACGAGTTACACGCTAACAACACACACACATGCTAACTGTGACGCCGGGCTTGCGAGGCGAGTGGGGAAGCAGGCAAGCAAAGCCGTGAATACGACGAAACGCTGTTTATTTTCAGCAAACATGAAACGCACGACAAAACAACAATGACGGATCTGGGAAACAAAGGCAGACGTGGACTAATATACACAAGACAGACTGACTTAAACAAGCAACAGGTGAATACAATCAGGAATTAACACGAGGTAACGAGGGGGGCGTGGCACACACGAGGATCGGACGAGCTGGGCGTCACACTAACAAATCTGACCATGACTACTGCCTATCATGTTTGTTACCTGTCTGCTCTGCAACTGGATTCAATTCAATTTATATTTATATAGCGCCTTTCACAACAGGGTTGTCAATGCCTGGTCCCTGACAGGTCTGTGTTACAATATCGGAGTAAAATAATTTAACCAATAAATTTTTAAAATACCCAGTTACAAGTATAAGCAATACTGGAGCAGGAGCTCAACAACTTCTAACAAGGCAAGAACCAATTAAGAATATTCAATGATCAGAAGTGCAAGATAGGATCTTTCAGGGAACATGGAGGCATCAGTCTAGTAGTGAAATTCATGGAATAAATGGGTCTTGAATTATTTCTTAAAGGTGGAGAAGTAGTCTGATTATCAGAGACTGTTCAGCAGCTCATTCCACCATTGAGGAACCACACAAAAGAACTTTATGTACTGTAGTTACACTTCTTACTTGATATAGAGAGCTCCAAAGAGTGTAGGTTTGCTCACCAAAGAAAACGAAATGGAAGACAGAAAAGGCCTGATCTTCCTGATGTTATACAGAGTAAACCTACAAAATTGAGAGAGCACTTGATCTTGAACACAGTAACTCTAAAAGTACTTGTTGGATCTTTCTCAAATTTCCCTAGAATCATCTGTTGTTCATTTCATTTTCAGACAACTTGCATCAAAATTGAAGCAATGCCAATTAGTAACTGCAAAAGGACAGTGCTGGGAAGAATATGGAGGGGGTGTAGAGATTGTGGGAGTTATGGGAGGAGCAGGGATTTGATGGGGGGATGGAGTGATGGGTATGTCCAGGAAATGAAGCAAAAAAATAGTCATTGACAGTTGTTAATGACCCGATGTTAAGTATGGCTCTTTTCTTTGCGACTTTGAGTTATGTGTTGTGGAAAGGAACATATGTTTGACAACCCTGTTTCTGCCATGTCCTTCATCCAAACATTGATTTACCCAATGAGCAATCAGGAATGATACTAGCATACTACAGTTATAGCTCACCTATGCCATTTAACCGGACTACTGCCCTCATCCCAGTATACATATATGGGAGAGAAATCGATTTATTGACTGAAGTTTGTCCAACTCCACTACAATAGATGGTGATATGGCTACTTTCAACTTGACTTCAGCTGGACTTTTTCCGGTTGACCTATGTCACAGATGTAAAAAATAATAAAATTAACCCTCCGGGGTCTAGGGGTAGGAAACACACTTAATTCATGTCAAATAAATTATTTCTTATATATTTGTTTTGTAATTACACTCCTCTTTTTTTTTTTTCCCCCTGTCGTGTCCGGCAGTTTAGCAAGCAGGATGTTAGTCTGGGTGCCTTATTGTGCCAACACTTTTATTTTAACAAGTGGAGCTTCGGATTTAAGCTCCTCTTGTTACTTGAGGTATACTCTTTATTAATCATTTTTATGTCAATGCGCCACAAAGCCGGA